AACATACTAAAAAACTACAACGAAAAGTCTTTGTCGATGGTGTTCAAATCATATAACTCTTAAATAAATACGCGTTACTGTTGACTATGTAGAGCTAGCCTCGATTAAATAATATCTACAGTGCCGGCACGCTATGATGGCCATTTTGACAGATACAATAGTGGGGTCAAATCTCAACTGATTATCGAAAAGAATATAATGAAATGCGAGTCGCATCTATAACTTTTGAGATTTGTTTTGATTTAACTAGTATTGCAAGGGGTACCTGATTAAAAAGTTTTAATAAAACAAAAATAAAAATGTTTACTTAATATATCGAGCTTTGGTGCAAGTTTGCCGGAGGCAGACGTTGCGCTGGCCAGCGATCCCTTATGTGACGATCGTATTAGATTACATTTTTTTTAATTGCGAATTTCGAAAAACAAATTGTGTCGTAAAATTATAAATTCCATAAATTTTTACTGCACGTCATTATTGACAACAATGTTCGGCAATTAGCTCCTTCAACGTAGTTCTTGATGAGCGGATAAACGTCAAAACGGCCATCTTAGCGTCCCGGTACTGTAGTACGAAATTAACTGCACTATTCGAATGCCATTACTCAAAAACCAATTTTTATGTGCATCATCAGAAGCTATTTTCATATTAATTAATCCTGTACCTTTCTAATAACGGATATATTATTAAAAACTCTTATACATACATTTTAGATTATATAGTTCTATCATAAAGTTAGTATAATTTCTTATATAACTCTGCCTTACAATCTTAATACCTATAAGTCGAACAGACTTTGATTAAATGAACATCAAGTGTCTATATATTAATCGTCTATATAAAGATGCGAACATGTAATATATACTCTGCTAATAGTTTAAAAAAAAAACAAATTTGTTTGCATGTCATTTTTTCTGCGGTCATTCGTACATAGTGGAACAAATATAATAAGAAAATATATGTTACATTATGATGTAATGTAAATGTAAGCTCAGTTTTACAAACTACATACGTAAGGTGGTGGCACCTGTGACCGACAACTGCCGATAAGCACCACTGTTTGAGATCTTTTTTTAATTTAATTTCTAATAAGATTTAGGACAACTTTTTCTATCATAGTAACATGTTTCGTATGGTAAGGTCAATTCCTGGGTGTTCATTATTGGAGAATGTCAATTACTGGTTAGTTAATTAGTGGATTTTTGGTGTCCATTACAGGAGGCTTAGAAAAATTCAAGTAAGTTTTTTTTGGTAATAATTGTAATAAATTTTTTATGAAACACACCACAGCATAATCAATCATGAGGGTTATATCTGTCAAGCAAAGTAATTGATATGTGTTTATAAACAAAACATAGTTATATAACAAATAGCAAGCCTGGAAATTTGTTGCCCATGGAACTACCAGCAGAACTACTAGTAGTTCCACGGGCAATAATAATCTCCCGTGAACTACCGGAACTACTAGTAGTTACACGGGCAATTATAATCTCCCGTGTAACTAACGACAGGCCTAGTAGAGTATCACGGGTAGGTAATTGTTTTTGTCCGTGGTATTACCACTACTAATACGGGCAATAATATTTTCCCGTATTATAAGATAAGAAGCGTTTTATTAATTTCATAAATAAACGAACCAAAAGCCAAACAATATAATAATAACCTAACCTCATTACAGAGTACTAAAAAAAACGACCTCAAAAGTCATTCATCCCCTAGTTTACCACCTTTAGAGACCGAATATTTTCTTCAAATTTAAATGGGACCACTTCTGAGTTACCCTCTTTGCAACAAAAAAAAATCATCAAAATCGGTTCACAAATGGCGGAGATGTCGCGAAACATACAAAAAAATTTCAGTCGAATTCAGAACCTCCTCCTTTTCTTGAAGTTGGTTAAAAATGCATTTTAACTAGCAAATATAAATCAACCTTTATTCTTATTCAACCTTAGAACTGAGTCCAAATCATGGTACCACGATTTCGTTTAACTAAACGATTCTTTCATTAAGCGTATTTGAATTGAAAAGTCATATTACAAAATTGAAAAATACGTGTTAGATAAAGATGTATGAAAAAAAGACATGGCTCTAAATTCCACACAAATTCAACTACTACTAGGTCTGTCGGTAGTTTCACGGGTGATTATTATTGCCCGTGGAACTACCGGTAGTTCTGCTGGTAGTTCCACGTGTAACGAAGGGAAAATAGTTGTTTGACGCGAGTGTTTGTATTGAATCTTGAGCGTAGTGAGGGTTCCAAGACAACGAGACGCTATAGCGAGGAAAATAGTTGATGAAAGAAAAACAGTTGAACTATATGAAATCAGTTTAGTTCTTCGACGGATTAAAATAATTTAATAAACAAAATTAGTTATCGTTGTCAATTTAATGTCAATTAGAATAAGAATAAAATGTACCAACGGATTTATATTACAGAAATAACGTAAAATAAAATGAAATAATGAATAATCGCGTAGATGAACGTGTCATTAGGGTTTTTTTTCATAGAAAGAAAAAGTTAAGTGCACCACAGTCCATCGTGAAGTACGAATTTCAAATACCTTTTCCACGCTAGCGTGCAAAGACACTTTTGCGTGCAGATTTCTAATAAGAAAGAAAGCCTTTTCGAGCTAATGAGGTGAAAAAAGTATTTCAAATTTAAGGACACACTTCCCTTAAAACCGATCATAATCCTGCGAGGTTGTTGTTGTTGTTGTTCCTGTGGTGTGTATTTTACAAATAACCCTGCATAGATTGTTACAGGCTCCTTACTCCGGCATGATTTATACTAATTGTTATTATTTATTTCGGACCATAAAATATCCATAGTATGTTAGTAAAAGAACTTATATCAAGGTTAGTAATAATCATTGCAACTTAATTATATTTCTTTCCGCTATATTTATTACCATTTTCCCGATATTTCGAAACGGCTGCGACAGGCGGTAGTTGACAATTTTTTATAATAAGAAATCATATCGTTCGTAGACTTAGCTTGGATTAAATAAATAATATTTTATGAAACAAAGATAAAGCACCTATATTATTTAAGACTTTTACGAATGAGCGCAGAATTTTACCATATGACATATATAACCAATAGTATATGTGTAAATATAAATAGACATTCTTGTACAATTATTGGTGACAGAAAGAAGAAAATCAACTTCCGCGTATATTCACGGGAAAAAAGCAAAGAAAATCAATTGTCTAATTTACATTAACATTGAGATGTTTGTTTTAGTATGAATTTCTGGAAACAGTCTGCCAAAAGATCACTTGGAGTCCTATATCTAGTAAATTGTGGACTAAAATAGGTCCGACCATCTTTAGCTGGACAAAAGATCCTATTATACTTTCACTGTGCGCCTCTTGGCGCCAGTGGCTAAGTGACTAACAGAAAAAACACACCCAGTCCGTCAGTCATCATATCCTCTCGTAAGACCCCGTGTACATGAAAATGTACATAATATGTAAAGTGATTCAAACCCAGACAATATTATCCTATGATCACGTAAGCGCCCAGTGCACATTATAATAAAAGTATTGCATTCAGCGCTATAATATTCTATATAGGGTGTCTAGAAAAGTACGTTTTTATACAAAACAGAGTGCATACGTACTTGCGTGGGCCTGTAATCATATTTAGTACATTTTAATGTTGAGCGTTTAGCGCTTTTCCCGGTTGCAGCTGCTGGGTCTTCGGAGACAAAGCTGGTTGTATCACTTTATACAACAAACAACTTTACAACATTCGATAACATAATTACTTCAATAAAAACGTTTGTCACCGGTATGGCCGAACCTCTTTGCTACATTTTGTACAAAAAAAAACACGAGGTGAAGCTAATCGAGTTGCTCCTGAACACGTGCTTATTTTACTTAATACATAAGTTATCCTCGAATACAATGTGCTCCTAATTACATGGGTATCCATTTGGCTACATCTACTTTAGCCATTTACTTTATTTTTTCTGTATAGGCTATACATATAATATGATTTATATTAATTTTAATAACGCAAATTTACAGTTATTCTTCGTTTTGTTTTTTCACAGAGGGCGTTTAGAAGCTTCACGTAAAATTTCGTCGGGTTCAAAAAAAAACTTTTGTGATTCTAATATAGCTTCCTCTCTGTGTATTAGCATAAATATACAGATGCTAAATAACTTTTATGGTAAATTTACAAATTGAAGATATATAAATTTTGCTTCCTATCATGAAGAGTAACTAAGTGTCGAAACAATTTATTTTTTTGTCTCCCTATATTAATTACATGCGTGATATAATATTACGAAAGTTTTAAGAGAACCGCCACCAGAAATTGTAAGGTTCAAGTGATAACTTCCATCTTATTCTAAAGTATATATCCGATATCGGTCCTGTTGTACTTTTTCTTGACTAAAACTAATTTGGCAAGATTTTACATAGTAGTTATTCAGTTTAAGCCAATAAAGAACGCCGAAGTGATTAGCTAGAAATTGAAAGAATTTCGCGAACAGGACATTCTGTGACCAATCATCATTTTGCATAATCTCCAAATCAACATTCAGGCCCCAATAAACAGACTATTCCTCGTGTCGACCAATTGTCACTATAATCGTATCGATTCGTCGCTACTCCCTTCGCTTTCATCAGTTAATCGCTAGCGACACAAACATGTGGCATCGATACGTCGTTTCGATTAGTCGGAAACAACAGATAGTGAGACAACGTCCCGTATATGGGGGCCTTTATAAACATAGATCGGAATAGACTGAGTATATATCTAAACTCATAATCAACGATTACTTTACTACGGCAGTACATTAAAAAGGACAGTTTTATTATTAAAATTAATAAGTAAAACTAACAAATATTTTCTTTCAATTTTTTGTCTTAAATTAAAAGATATTTGTTAGTTTTACTTATTAATTTTACTAATAAAACTGTCCTTTTTAATGTACTGCCGTAGTAAAGTAATTGATTATTGGATGCAAAATGTAGAACTAGTACATTTCTGGAATTCATTCTGTGTATATTAGTTTCTTTTGAGGACTCTCACGCTGATTGGCAAATCCTCTCTCCACGATGGCAACCATTATAGTGTATGCCATCGATACGTAAGAAGAAGAACTTTCTTTACGTTTAGTTAAATGTCTATGTCTATTCAAATCTCCGCTTACAAAACATCAAATTTACTGAAATACGTATTACCAACAAATTCAACTTTTTAAGAATATTATATACGAGTATATTCATTTACAGAATCACGCACCCTGCACGATGTCGAACTGCATACAAGCCGTCAAGATCTGATTGATTAATTTAGAAATACCTAGGTACAACAGAATGGACATCGTGAATATCTCAACACATTGCAATGTGTTTGAAAATGTTATCGTCAAACACTTTGCAAGAATACGAACAACGTTCACTAAAATAAGAGATCTTATTACGTAGAAAGAGCGACGATGGGCTAATGGATACGTCGTAGTGGCATAAGGTATAAGAGAAGCTGATGTATTCCAGAATTTCCTTTACCATACTATCGAGTGTTTATTAAACCTCATCTGGATAGGTCCCGTTTATCGAAAGAAAATAAATTTCCCTTATAAATAAAAGAGAGTGAATTAATAACTAAGCAAATTCGAAGTTCTACAAAGGATTTAGAATGTAAGTAGTGTTTCGTGTAGCTAGTTGTAGAATTATATGTTTTTGGGCGTCTTCGAATTGAATACTTATGGAAATGTTGCAGAGGTGCCACTAGTAATTTTCATATTTAGAAGCACACAGCTGCAGCGCCACAGTCGCGCTACACGCGCGCCAATTTGCAGACTAAATATTGTATCAAACAAGACGTGTCCCTGCAGCGCTTCTACAAGTATTTAATTTGAAGGTGGCTTAATTTTTTTTTTCAATCGAATTTATATAATTCAATTTTATTTAATTCTGTAATGCCACATATGTGATGTGAAATGCAGTTACGCTTGCAGTTCAAAGTGCTTAACGAGTTTACATAAATTGAAAGAGAAATAAATAGACAGAAATATAATTGAAATACCATGAAACAAGAAATTCCTGATCTTCGAATTCGTCACTCACGGTGATACTCAGTCGTTGTTACCTACTTACTTAATACTTACCCTTTTTTCCAATAAGGCAATAAGTAGTTAAATGATCTTTTAAATATCCTACATTTGGTAATTTTCATTCCTTGGCTTGACTCATAAATTTCCAGAATCATGGCTTAGCGCAAGCATCGTTGAGAAATGCGAAGTTAGCCCTGCAGCTGAGTTTCAGCGGCTACGGCTTCCAGTTGATCCTCCTCGGACTTGGGAATGTCGAAGATTTCGGAGAAAAGAGCTGGAAGGGCCAGTCGAGGCCAGTGTTCGCGACACCAAATCAGCAGATCGTTGTGACGGGCGCCCAGCGCGCGGACATCCAGAGCGCAAGCAGAGAACGCCTCCAGCCGCCCTGTAGCATCTGGTATGCCGCTGCCGAGGATCTGTGACGAAAGTATTATCATAGTCATAACTAACAGACTAGTAAGAATTGATACTAGCTATCAAAACTATATAATAAAATCGCTCACCAAATGTTGTATGGCATCAGTAGTGGCGCGGTACAATGTCGCGATGCGCTCTGGGTCGCTGAGCGCCGGGCGCTGCGGAAACAGCAGCAGAGAGCCGGTGAATATGGCCATCTCCTCCTCGGTCATCTGCAGCTTCATTACAGCTCGAATGTAGTCCAGCACCGCGGCCGCGAATGGAGGCTTTAAAAAATATGTACATCTTTAGAATCGGTCGTGAAACAAGATCCCAAAACTGCAATTTGAAACCACTGGTCATTGTAATTAAGTAAGTGAGGGTGCCTACAGCTCCGGTGCCTATCTGGAAAATAGGGAGGGTGCTTTACGTGGACCCCGGACGGCTCACCTAAGGCTCTTCTCGCATAACCACGAGGTTGATATCGAGAGGCAGTATAAACGAAATTTATGTAGAAAGATATGGGACTGGTTATTGTAATTCCAGTGAGTCTCCACTGAGATAAGATTGCAATTATGACAGTGTTTGTTATTCTCCTAAAATCTAGTTGCGATGGGAGTTAGGTCTCAGTAGTGTCAGTAAGGGCATTAATTCCCTCAATCACTAATGGTCAATGAGGTTTTACCAAAACTACCATGGAAATTACTATGCATATCTTAATTTTTATCTCGTTTATGTAAGTAGCAATTTAGTCTTCACATTAAATGTACTTTTCAACCGGCTTCAAAAAAGGGAGGAGGTTCTTAATTAGATTGAATTTTTTTTGTATATATGTTACGCGATAACTCCGGTATTTGTAAACAGGTTTTCATGATTCCGTTTTTTGTTGCAAAGAGGGTACCTCGGTAGCAGTCCCATTCAATTTTGAAGAAAATCATCCACTTCTAAGGGTGGCTGTTCACGCATGAGGATCCATTTTTATAAATAGCGCCTAAATTTTATTATAAGGAGCAATTATTTTAATGGTTGATTTTGCTATTCTCCAATTCAAGGCGTTTTTCTCTCAATGTACTTTGAGTGGTGAGAACCGATTTTTATTATCTCCTGTGTCAAGTCCCGTATAGTGGCGAACTAGGGGATGAATCCGGGTTTAGCCGATTTCAATGGTAATTATATGTAATTCCACGTACTTTTAAGGTCGGTTTTTTTAGTACTCTGTACTGAGATTATTTCTATGTGTGTTACGCGGTAACTGGGATTTGTGAACCGATTTTTATGATTCTTTTTTGTTGGAAAAAAGGGTATCTCAGATGTGGTTCCATTTAAATTTGAAGAAAATATTCCACCTCTAAGGGTGGCAAACTAGGGGATGAATGACTTTTGAGTCTGTACTGAGATTACTTCTGTCAAATATTTAGTAAACTGTGTAATCGCTTCGCCATTGAAGAGCAGACTACCTAAAATTGCAAACTTTTGTACGGCTTTTGTACGTTTAATATTCTAACAAATATAAGTCGAGTGGTTGATGGTGTCATCAGTTTATCGGTGCTCTAATGTACACTAGGTATGCAAACTTAATTTATTGACCTGTTTTGTTTTTTTTTGTACCTTTATTTCTTGTCACATAATTCCTTACATCCTCTAAGCATAATTCGTTCGTTTTCTAGAATTCCGTTTTTAATTTTGTTTCTTTATTTTTTCACAAAACTCGGGGAGCATATTATTAGTCCTAAATAAATATGGCTGTTAATAGAATATGAAAAAGAAAAAAAAAGTTGGCGTAGTGTTAATTCATCGAGTATATAACCAGAAATAGAGAGGAAATAAAGGCCATACATTTCTGGTAACTCATCAGTGATACATCACTTTTAAATATCAACTCTCTTCTGAACTGAAATTTCAAATTAGAAAGCTGAAAAAGTACAGCGCCATCAACTGACCTGTGTGTACGTGTCCGTGTATTCCAAAAATATTATGTATTAATAAATACAGAATATTCTTGGATACAATAATACAATAGTAATAAAGATAACATCTATAACAATGGCATGCTGTTCCATTCGGTGGTGTGGAGAAAAACAGCAAAACATCTAATTACAAAATTCATCATTAATAACAATTAAAATCTAGAAACAGGTACTAAGGTCTAAGGTGGTTAAATTCAAATAATTCTTAATATTTTTGAAGGGAGAGAACAATTCCATAATCTCAACTGTAAGGGAAGACTCTTTAGAAATAGAATTATGAATTGTAATGAAACAAAATTATAATTTCTTCTGAAATAAAATTATAAATTTTAATTAAATAAAATTAAAATTCTAAAATTATACATGCTTCGGTAATCAAATAAGGACATATTATATAATAAAAGTACTACAAAATTAGTTTTGTTGAACACAAATATATTATTTTGCTGATAAAAACGATTATCGGTACTATTAAGGAATTTTCCACGGGTACGACTTAAGCAACGATTGTCGATTCAGAGTGCTGAAAATTTCAAATCGAAATTACTGCTATAATCTTAGAATAATAACGCATAGAATGATAGTTTCATATCAAACGAACTGTCACATGTGAGGAAGAAATCAATTGCCATTGACGCTTTTTTGACACACGACTTGGGCCCCAGGTTTGTGTTAGTGTCATCTTATGGGGGAGCAGTGTGGATGCAACAACACTGTTTACCTACTACTAAAAAAAACTAATTTGAATACTTGTGAATATTGCCCAAAGCGATAGTTGCAAACCATAGTTCCAAGAACTAGAAATATCCCCTTCCATGTATTTACATTTTAGAAGCTTGCAAATTCGTACGCAAATATCCAGAATATTTGACAAGGCGAATTGATATTTCTACACGCTAAACACAAGAACATGACGATGAACAATGAACACATCGATTATATAACCAGAAATGAAAATGAAAATAGCTTTTATTTCTTTTTCTCAAAAGCTTAAATTAGAGTTCACGATTGGATCTTTCTAGTTGGTATCATCTACCTGTATCAGGAAGACCCGCTCTTCCGATATTCTCTAGTATACAGAAATAAACCTTAATTTGTTTCTATGATGATGTACTAAAAATTATTACAAGTTGAAGAATTTGTACATAATTTATGAGGTAATAATAATACTAACAATAATAACAACACACACTATATTTAACTTTACCCAAGATAATAATAACAAAAATTATAATATAATATGGGTACCTTAAGGGTGGGATATTTTCTCCGTTTCATCACAGTTGATTGATACTAACCAATTTTGTAAAGCTTTTTTACAATTATGCCACTGTAGATGTTAAATATTTATTTTTTTGTTTATAGTATTATACATACATGCCGGATTCACTGCACATTGCCTATGATCACGAGATGTCATTTCATTTGTTTGAAAACTATTCTGCCATATCATTACTATGACAACTGCGCACCGATTGGCCAGCCCGGATTCGAAACAATTGACGGGTGTCGTCGATTGTTTCACTTCCAATCAACGAGTTAACTTGGGCTTTGTTATAATGGGCGAAAATTACAAAATAAACATATCTAATAGGGTAAGGTTGCGTTAGGCGTCCTCCAGCGATATCTGGTCTCACATGCGTGGGAAGTAATATCTAGGAACATAAATTTGAAGTATTGAGTTAAGCGAGTAAACAAAAATAAACCGGCGGCCGGCCGACGTTCGTGTTGGGCAAAATATGAAAAAGTAAGTTTTTGCACTGTTTTCTTTAAAATTTGTTTTTCATTCGGAAGCTATTTCAAGAAACAATATGGTGGTAAACTTACTTTTTTGGTATTTGTCTATTTTTGACGTATTTTAGCATTTATTTAATCACAAGCAAACGGCAGATTTTTTAACGTTATAACCTTAGAATAATAACGCATAGAAACCTAGCCCGCACACGCTAAGTGAGGCAAATTGAAGCGCTCCCAAAGGGCCTACACGAACGGGCGGGCCATCAATGCTCAAGTTCAACTTGCACCGCGAACAGCACCAGAATTTTAGCTAAAAATGACGAATTGTGCGGTAAATGAGTGTAAAAATACGTCAGAGAAACATAAAATAGATAATAACATCACATTCCACAAGGAAGTAACGCGTTTCAACTTGTATTTTTATATAAATATTCACTAAAACCGAAAATTAACCTACTACTAAAACTAGCTACATGAATTTGATTTTTGCGTCACTTGTGACAGTTCGTTTGATATGAAACTATCATTCTATGCGTTATTATTTTTAGGTTATAACAGTAATTTTCAGCAAATTTTCAGCACTCTGAATCGACAATCGTTGCTTAAGTTGTACTCGCGGAAAATTCCTTAATCGTACCGGTACGACTTAGGAATTTACGAAAATTATTTCTTCGGTTTTATAAGCAAAATAATATATTTGTGTTCAACAAAACTAATTTTGTAGTCCTTTTATTATATAATATGTCTTTATTTCATTACCGAATCATGTATAATTTTAGAATTTTAATTTTATTTAATTAAAATTTATAATTTTATTTCAGAAAAAAATTATAATTTTGTTTCATTACAATTCATAATTCTATTTCTAAAGAATCTTCCCTTACAGTTGAGATTTTGGAATTGTTCTCTCCCTTCAAAAATATTAAGAATTATTTGAATTTAACCACCTTAGACCTTAGTACCTCTTTCTAGATTTTAATTGTTATTAATGATGAATTTTGTAATTAGATGGTTTGCTGTTTTTCTCCACACCACCGAATGGAACAGCATGCCATTGTTATAGATATTATCTTTATTAGAAAGAAAGAAGAAAGAAAGAAAGAATATTACTATTGTATTATTGTATCCAAGAATATAGTATCGTATATTTTTGGAATATACGGACACGTACACACAGGTCAGTTGATGGCGCTGTACTTTTTCAGCTGTCTAATTTGAAATTTCAGTTCAGAAGAGAGTTGATATTTAAAAGTGATGTATCACTGATGAGTTACCAGAAATGTATGGCCCTTATTTCCTCTCTATTTCTGGTTATATACTCGATGAATTAACACAACGCCAACTTTTCTTTTTTTTTTCATTTTCTATTAACAGCCATATTTATTTAGGACTAATAATATGCTCCCCGAGGTTTGTGAAAAAATAAAGAAACAAAATTAAAAACGGAATTCGAGAAAACGAACGAATTATGCTTAGAGGATGTAAGGAATTATGTGACAAGAAATAAAGGTACAAAAAAAAACAAAACAGGTCAATAAATTAAGTTTGCGTACCTAGTGTACATTACAGCACCGATAAACTGATAACACCATCAACCACTCGACTTAATTTGAACTCTTCTGGTCCACTCCTAATATCTATCAGTGCATATAAATTACCAAAATCGTTAGTAGATGAAAAAAGCGACATATATTTATAAAAAAAAAGAAACTGCTAATAAAAAATCTTATGCTGATTCGGAATTGATACAAAAGAATGATTTAAAACTTTAACTTTAATTTTGATTAAAAGTACGTCCTTTTCTCCAGTTCGCTGTGCCCTATACAGGGTCTACGATGATCCGTTAAAATAATGACCAAACACCTTGTAAAACACTGTAGAAAATGCAATAAAGTATTGAAATCTATAGGTCCCCGATTCTACGAACATCTACCCACAGACCTGAAAAGTGTTAGAAACGATGAAACGTTTTGTACCCGACTAAAAATCCTTTTATTGGATATTGAATTGTACAGTGTCGATGAGTTTCTTTTGAAACAATTTTAATTTTATTTTATTCGACAAGCAGTAGTTATACTACTTTATTTTATATTCATTATTATTATTATTATTTTTGTTACTGACGATCATAGTTATCCCTTGACATTGTATTTCCAATTGTAATATTGTGACATTGATAACATGAAATAAACGATTCTATTCTATTCTATTCTATTCTAATTGATCTTGAAACTATATTATATGTATATATGATATACAGTGCACCGGTCGTACACGGGTACACTCAGGCCCCGTCGAGTTCACTGCCCGCGTGCGGTGCATACGATTTAAAGACAATTTTGCAAAACTTTGCTAGATGCAATTAGTCAAATTATTGAACAGAATATTTTTTTTTAAATATTTGTTTTATTAATTACTTAAATATGGCGAGAAAGCAATCGACACATTTTATATTAAGAACGTAATTTTGATATTTTTTCAAGCTTATCGAATGTTACGATGAAATTACTCCACTAGTTTATAATTATTAATACAAAGATCGAACACTTGGAAAAATTCCTTCGATCCGGCTGGATTCGAACCAATGTCTTCCAGCAAACCGCGGCAGACGCCATCTAAGCCACGGAACGAATTAGCGGACCTCAGGAGTTTTTCTATGTACTTGTTGCTAAATTTAAAGAAAACCGGACACCTGTGACATTTCAGACCGTAATTTCCCCGATTCGGAAACGATACGAATAGGACGTAGCGCGCAAACGCTCTTAGGATGGCAAACTAGGAGATGATACTTACCGGTTTCAATAAAACTAGGCAAATAAATGTCATTTCACGAACTTTTGAAGTCGGTTCTTTTTTTATAAAAAAGTTACAATTATTGGTTTTTATTGACGAATTTATTTAACTTTTTTTTTGTTGTCACGAACAATTGAGTACGGTCGCATAGCAACGTTATAATAAGAACTATTTTTTCTGAAGTTTTAGGGTGGCAAAGGTTCGTACCGCCTCCGGAGAGAAGGTACGGCCATTACAACGTCTTTTCCCATTAGAGACCCACTATCATATACCTGAATCCCTGCCTGTTCCTCCTATAACAAAGTTGACCCCTGACCCCAATGTACCTGAGACTTCAACACCAAGCCGAATACCGAAAACGACTATGATTCGCTCTGGCCTGGCCGTGTATCACGGCCACCTGACAGGTTCACTTTTAAATAGAGTATTTATTTTTTTGTAATGACTTATCATTTATAATGTATGTTATATATGTTTATATTTTATGTTATATATGTTTATTATATATGTAAGTTATGTATGTTGATGACAAATAAAAATAAAGGTATTATAATAAATTTGAATAATGAATAAATGTTAATTATATACTACAAAGTTATGCTATTGTAATCTAATTAAATTCAAACTTTCAAGTGACATAATTTCTACTTCTTTCTATTCTACTCATAATATGACGTATTACTTCTTGTTACATGACATATATTTTTTAATTTTGTATTATTATTTGATAAATAACAATTTTAATTAATAATTGAAACCTCGGCCTACCTCTGCAGTTATTGTTATTCCTAATAAAAGGCTCATATGTGTAGCATTATTTTATATTTAAGACATGTATACGATATGTATGCAATAAATATATTGAGTATTGAGTATGTTTTGTCGAACCGGTTCCTTCTTCGTAGAGAGTGTCACGAACAATTGAGTACGGTCGCATAGCAACGTTATAATAAGAACCATTTTTTCAGAAGTTTTCTTTTGCAATTTAATTTCCAAGGATCCGTTAAATTTGTGTTGATCAGTAGAGGTTATAAAATGATTAAAAAATGATGAGATTCTAATTGTATTCTTTCCAGGGTGAGGCGTTACTTTACACCGGGACTTGCTTCAGCTGTACCAAGCACAAGTCCGATCCTGCACGGAGTACTGCTGCCACCTTTGGGATGGCTCTGCTACATATCAACTGGCCACTTCGGATCCAATTGACAACCGTGGCAAGAGGCTTGTAGGCGACTCGGAATTAGTGGAGGCGAAGCTGCAGAGCCTTGAACACCGACGTAAAGTTGCCTGCTTATCGGTATTTTACAGGATATATCACGGAGAGTGTGTGATGGAATTACACGATTTAATTCCGTCTTCCCCTTTCCATCACCGGGGGATTATACGTAGGCTTGGGTTCCACCCCTATGTTGTGGTTATTCCAAAGATTCGCACGAAGCGTTACGCTTCCACATTTATATGGCGAACGGCTATGGAGTGGTATTCCCTGCCTGCAGACTTGTTCCCTGAACGTTATAACTTGGGTCTTTTCAAGGCGAGAGTGAATAGGTATTAATTAGGTGTGCATGCTCCATCGTCGACTCCATCGTCACTTTCCGTCAGGTGAGATGGAGGTTAAATGCGCACATATATTTTATTTAAAAAAAGTATTTGTACGTATTAATGTATGTAACTAACAATAGCATAAGTAGCTTAAGTAACACCAGTGATTCAAGTTGGTACAAATACAAAAGTGTATTATTGTTATTATTTACATTTATTTTACATTTTCGCCTCTCATATGGCCTAAAAGATAAATTTTGAATTTTTAAACGGGAGAGGTGGTATTCTCCGTTATTGGCACAGTCGTATACTACGTGCGGTATCGAGCAAAATAATAAATTCTCACATGATATTCCCGGATTTTCCCATAAGAAGTAAAATATTCCCAAATAGAATATTGATCGACTTTAATTAAACGTTTGCAAGTCGATAATGATTTTTCGATAGATCATGGTACAACACTAAAGAAATCCGCCATTTGTTCAGTAAAATTTTTGTATAAGCATGTAAAATAACCTATTTCACCATACACGTTATCGCTCCGTTATTGTCTATGGGATCCGAAGCCCAATACGAAAGCGTTCTAGCTAATGAATTGCGGACGGATCGTTTTGATTTCGTACGCAGCTGCGGTTGTATATTTTGAGAGTAGACCTTCAGGACCGCCTTCTGAATTTGTGCTGGAAGCGACGCGCCGCAGAAATCCAACAGCCTTACCTGCTAGCTAGCTATTATTATCATTGTAATGAGTAAATCAAACATACATGTAAGCCAGGGACCGTCGTGGATTGGACAAAACAATAGGACTACTACGCTTTCAACTTTTTTTACGTTTTACGACGTAATATGCTTGACAATGGAGGCTAATCTAAACATGTACTCACATCATAAGCAATCTCGAGCTGATGGCGCGAAATGGCGGTGCCATCATCAAACACGATGCAATCGTGTGTGGAGATCCGGCTCGCACGGGTCAGCCACACTTCGAAGAACCCTAGCTGTAAACGTCACATTTCAACTTATACTAGTTCTATTGTTAAGTCGAAACAAGAAAAGGTATATGCCGCAATGTAGCAGTTCGCATAAAGTTGCAATGATTATTGGAATGAAAAATATCGCATAGCAGAATAATTCGCATTGTGGCAACTACTTAATCTAAAACAACAAAGTTTTATATCGTGAACCGTACGAAAAAAAATTCACAACGCGATTTACGCTTATCGATCGCTTCCATCAGAAACCAAAACTTTGCCGATCGTACCTTTATGAGTATGAGCTGGTCATCCTGCGGCAGCGAGTGGAAGCCAGGGAGGCGCTTGGCAAACTCGACGACTTGCTGCACGGCAGGTGTCATGCGCACTGCCACGTTGTGCCACAGAAGTGACCGTATATCAGTCTCGCGATCGGTTGTCGAGCTCGCCGCCTCCTCTCCACCGCTACCTGTGAACCAAAAATAAGTCGTGTCTGGTTTTCAACTACGGCGTCTACAGCTGGACAAACTCGAGAAACTGCAAAAAGTTGCCACCTTCGTTATCGGAATCATCATTCTTCAGAATAATATTCTGACGTTGCAGAGTGCGCTTCAGTTCTTCAGTATAGGTGTTATTGTTGCGATGGGCGGCCGTCACCATCCTGGTCAACTCCTTCGCTACACCTTGACGGAGGGTTTCGGAATCCATTTCCTCGACTCCCGGCAATGGCACCACACCGGACGCGTGCAGGTTCCGGGCGAGGTCCGGCATGTTGTCCTGGTTGACGTCTCTTGTCCGCTTCGGGACGCGTCCGTACCTTACAGCTGCAAACATGTTCGTTAGTTAAACTGTATCGGCAATATGTCTAAACGAATTGGGTCGGTGCATCTGACTGCATAATGCCACTCGTGCTGGGAGCTCGACCGTTCAATTGGAAAATAGACGTGCCGGTATATCACACGCGTTCGTTGCTCTAATTTTGCCCCCGACTTACGGTCGGCGAGCAACAAATTTAAATTAAAATGCATGCACATACTCACAGTCGCGGCTCATACCGACGGTTAGACACTTCTTAAACCTGCAAAACTGACAGCGGTTCCTGTTGAGCCGGATCACAACGCACTTCCCGTCACGGAGACAACGGTACTCTATTTGCTTTTGGATGCTTCGCCGGAAAAAACCCTAATAACAAAAAAAAATATATGTCTGAAACACGTGAAGCTAAAACTAAGAATTTTATAAATTTAGCTTTACAGGAGTGAGAGAGAGACAACAACTCAGAAAACGAAGTTGAGATTTGTGACTATATTAAATAAATACAATAATCTGCCAAACAACAACAGAAATTGCTTTGTCTCGTATTAGGTAAGTTCCTATACTATGAGTACCAGTGCAACGGAATTAACTCTGGAGCACTTCCCAGAACAAAGTTATTTACCAATGCGGTTCTACCGGGAGTCGAACCCGGCACCACCTCATTACACAGTATAAACTGTTGGGCCACCGAGGTCGTCAAATTGCCTACTAAGTGCAAATATTTACCAATTTTCAGTTAAATAATTAAATATATACACCAGTGTTGTTGTTAATGTTGTTTTTACACGTCAGCGGATGTTGATTTTTATACCTTAACATCAGCGGATGCTGATTTATTGTATTTAAAATAAACGCTAATAATGTATATTCTACTGAATCTATATCTACGTGAAAACGCTTTCCATTTTCTTTAGTATCGCAATAAAATATTTTTTTTATTTTGTTACATTTATTAACAAAAGAATCAATCTGCACAGCTGTGCTCCTTTTTCGTTTTTTTACAGTCTGCTTCTGGAAGGTTTGTAAATTATTCCAGGTTGCCTTTATCATGTCACGATGCGAACATCCACAATGAATACCAGGAACGATGAATGCGGATATTTTAATTTACGCAGATTATCAGCGGATGTGGATGCAGATACTGATATTCGCAACAACCCTGATACAGACATATTATGATAGACTGACAACTAGGTACTTAGCGATTAATAGACTGTAAGCTCATAATGTAACAATATAATCTTAGACATACTAGTTTAGAGAGAAGGCTAGGTACGCACAATATGACGAGAGAGAGACGAGATACACTAAAGAACAAAATTACAAGAGAACGGTAAACTAGCAAAAAATAGAGATGCGCCGAGTACTGGTTTGCTACTCGGTACTCGGTGTACTCGGTCGTTTTTTTACTACTCATACTCAGCCGAATAACTCGGTTCATGAGAAGAGTACTCGGTGAAAATAACGCATTACAGCTATAGACATAATAAAGTAAAACCAACAGTATATTTAAAATAATCAAAACAGATTTATTACTACAAATTCTAGACAACTGTAACATTTGTAGTAATTTTGTTATTTAAAAAGAAAGTTTACACTATTAATATTTAAAATGTAACAAAGGCAAGTTATGATGTAGGAATACAAGGCTTTCTGTGCGTTCAGGCAATAGTCTGTTCCTTTTTTCTTCATACACATTCCCCGCTTCGGAAAATAACCGCTCGCCATATACAGTGCTTGCAGGTGCATATAAAAACACTCGTGCTAACTGTGCCAGTTTTGGATATCTTGCTTTATGCCCTGCCCACCATTGGAAAGGACTCTAATAGGTCTAATCCTAGAGCAATGGGACTTTTAGGATCATCGCATTCCGGTTATAATGAACCGTTAAATACACAGATCGAACATATAGAAAAATGTCTTCGACTCGATGGGCCTTGAACCCAAGACCACGCTGTATCGTAGCGCTGCTTTAACCAACTGAGTTACAGGTCAAGTTATCGAGTTGTCGAAATTTTGCTGTTTTTTTTTTAATTTATTTAATACTTTTTACAATGGCTTATTACATGCATGCTGTAGCTCAAAAAACCACCAAGGGTTTATCTGTCCACAGCGACGTGTTTTCGTTATAGATCTTTTGTACTGGATTTTTCGGCATTCAGCTCTAATGACATCTAGTGAGAGATTTTAGAACTTTCTCACCGCAACCGGTACCTTTACAGGTGCCTCAAGCTAGCTTTTTATCAAATTTAATTTGAAATTTCTGATGTGGACACCCGTGTCTTGCAGTTGGAGGTAATAAATGGATTGTTGATGATGATAAACTAGTGACTTGTATAGGTTACTATATATTGACATGTTTTATTTTATTCCCAGTTACTTGATTGTCAAGTATCAACAATACTTATAATTTTATTAAATGTCCCAAAGAAGTTAATCAATGTTTACCAATTAAATAAGGCACGTACTAAGTAAAAAGATCATTTTAAATTTGCAGCAGGCAATAAGAACTAAACGGTCGTCGTTTTTAATTGACCCTTTTCTCTGAGATTATCTAATACATCAGGAAGATGGTTTGAAACAACTTTTTCATAAAAAATATTAATTTTTTTAATATTATTTAAATTAATTATTTATTATAAGGAGCAATTACTTTAATGGTTGATTTTGCTATTCTCCAATTCAAGGCGTTTTTCTCTCTCAATATACTTCGAGTAGTGAGAACCGATTTTTATTATCTCCTGTGTCAAGTCCCGTATAGTGGCGAACTAGGGGATGAATCCGGGTTTGCGCACTTTCCGGTAACTGATTTCAATAAAACTTATCAAATAGATATACCTAATTCCACGACTTTTAGGGTCGGTTTTTTTAGTACTCTGTAGTGAGATTATATTTATCGTGGACGACTAATCGTATTGTATACTACATGTGAACAACTTCATTTAAATATACAAGTCACGACACTTTAACGCGCCCTTTCATCTATTTGTCCAGTTTTGTTGAAATCGGTTAACGGAATATAGGTGAAATATAATAACTGGGTTCATCCTCTAATTTGCCGCCGTTAGGGGTGGGATATTTTCTTCAAATTCGAATGGGACCACAACTCAGGTACATCCTTTCTAACAAAAAAAATAATTAAATCGCTTCAATAATCTCGGAGTAATCGGGTTACATACAAAAAATACAGTCTAATAGACAACTTCCTCCTTTCTTGATGTCGGTTAAAGATAACAAATCATGAACATGAATTCCGGTCACAGGGATACCGTAATAAAAGAATAATATAATACTGGTCGTTGTGGCGTTCTTTGGGTGCGACCTATGTTCAGAACTGGACGTCTATTTTGCTGGAGCAATTATGATGATGATTTACATGAATGGTCATTAGTTTAAGTTAACATAGTCTAAGATTCGAATCCATCGCGACGCTCCTGCACAGGGGGTCTAGGTCGGAAACAACTTCTGTCAATTAAGTAATACACTTTATATATTTTTAACCGACTTCAAAAAAGGAGGAGGTTCTCAATTCGACTGTATGATCTATTTTTTTTTTGTATATATGTTACGCGATAACTCCGGTATTTGTGAACCGATTTTCATGATTCTTTTTTTTAGCAATTATTTAGTTGATTTTGCTATTTCATCAATTCAAGGCGTTTTTCCCTCGATATACTTTGAGTAGTGTCGTAGTGAGAACCTATTTTTATTATCTCCAGTATCAAGTCCTGTATAGTGGCGAACTAGGGGATATTGCAATGAAACTTAGCAAGTAGACGTAATTCCACGTACTTTTGAGGTCGGTTTTTTTAGTACTCTGTACTGAGATTATTTGTTTTGTGTTTTTGTTTCGCAATTATTTATTTATGTTTCACGTAGAATGTCATGATTATGTTTCCTTTTTTCTTTTGTTTTCTTTCGTTTTCTTTTTTTTTCTTTTGTGGTGTCATTGTTGTAAGCAAAAATAATGTATTTTCTTTCTTTTCTTTTCATTCAATAAATGTTAAAGCACGCGAGATGTTACGCTACTGCCAGTGACAATGCGATCGACAACAAAATAACAAACCCCGTTGACATTGCTCATGCTTTTTAATACCTTTTTTGTTGCATTGAGAAATAACTTGACGCAATCAGAAAACAATGATATGATTGAATCGCTCGCTAACCCTAAGTTCTTGTCACCTACATTGTGAAGACGAAGTAAATGTAGAAGTGATGTCATTGAAAAACTCCAACTCGGAGGGTTATGACAAAATTGGCACTAACATAGTTAAAGCCAGTGTTAATGAAATTATATAAATATCTATTAAATTAATTTATGATTTCGTTCAGGGGGCCTACCACAAACTCACACAATTTACTCCTAAAAAATTAGAAAGAAAAGGTTCAAAAGGTTCAATTTTGCAACGGATGAGGGCCTATTTGGGAAATCATTGACAATACGTTGTTATTTTCTAAACAACAAATAATGCAAGGATTTTAAATTATTACCTACAATCAACACATATGGTGTTCCGCAAGGAAGTGTTATAGAGCCGATTCTATTTCTATTGTGTATAAATGGCATTATAGACAGAACAAATCACTAATCCACATCCATTATGTGACGACGTATCCATTACCGTAATGTCTAGTGGAAAGGAAACAACAACTCGAGATCACAGACTAGACATAAATATCACAATTGAATTAAATAAAAATGATAAAATGGCTACAATTAAAATCTAAATGCTAACATAATCAAATCAAGTTATACCCAATTTAATGAATTGAAATATATTAAATATAATTTCAATTGAAATGTCGATACATTCAAGAAATGTCACACAGAGAATTCCTTGGAGTAAACATAGCTGGAGAATAACCTTGAGACTCATGTCGAGTATCAATAAGTACATGTATGCCTTAGAAAAGTGAAAAAATATTACAAATAAGACATCTGTCATAACGACATATAGAGTAGAGGCCATACCAAGTTACAAGACACATAAATAGTATATACTGATAGCGGGTTTAATTGCAGAAAAGAATGCTCTAGAGCGATTTATGAAATATCCGGAATTTGAATGAAACTTACGCACTCTTCTTTCTGGACCTTAGTTTGTTGTCGGTACTGACATTATATAAACGAAAACAACATGATGACATTTTTTATACGACTTTGTAAAAATGAATACTAATCTTACAATCTTTTACCATCTTTCGGGTAACTTTGAAATTGCATCAGTTGAGCTCTGAGAGTCGTTTCATGGTTTTCGTTAACAAAGTCATATCCATTCAAAGAATTTTGTAAACACCGAAATAAGTGAAAATCTGACGGTGCTTTGTCGAGTGAATAGGGTGGATAAGGTAACACGTACCAACTA